TTGTGATGATATTCTGAGGGTCCAGCCAATCGAGGTAGGTTTTGACGATGAGGTAACAATGAAAATTCAAGTTGTTTTGAAAGGAGATCAAAGCTGAGTAGTTTAAGAGTTTTTTAGAGAAAGGAGGAGGATGAAAAGCAGAAAACACCAATCGACAGATATGCCTAAAAAGTTTAATCAAAGTTATCAACCTGCCCTCTAGCTTCTTAGTTCTTTGCCGCAATGATCTAGGGTCCGAAGCAGACAGGGTAGGTTTTTAACAATGAGGTAACAATTAAGACCAAATGACAGATTATGAGTTGAAACAAAAAGTTAAAGTGAAGAACAATCGAAGGAGAATTTCCTACAAGATGAGGAAATTAAAAAAGGCAAAAAAAGTAGAACATACATAATACATGCTGTGAAATATACATTGTATTATTGGTGCGCTTGTCTGTTTACAGGTGTGATTGTCACACCTTTTGTTACACCTGTGTGACAATCACCTATCAGGCATCACCGGTTTTCCACATCTCATCCAGACTCCAGTGCACCACTACCGTAGAGAGGATCTCTGATCTCCTTTCTCCTTCAACCTTCAACCTTCATTTCCACTTTACTCTTTCCCTTCTCTTTGGATCCAGTAATTCAATTCAACTCCAATCATCTTCATTTTTTTCAATTCAACTTCAATTGTCTTTATTTTTCAATCTCTTAGGATCCATTGTTTCAATTCGACTTGAAAGTTTATTTATTTATTTATTTATCAATTGATCCATTTGTAAGTCTTCTCATTGAATACCACAAACACCTCAGATCTTGATTTTTGTTTTTGTTTTGATTTCTTCAGATCTTTTGGTTCAATATTGACTTGGTTCATTGATCACTTCAAAGATTCGAATCAGACGTTTCCATCAATCTTTTGTGGATCTGTAAGTCTTTTTAATTGTTACTTCAAGACAAAAGCCATCCAACCAATACTTTTGATTGTGTCTTAAGTTGATCAACTTCGATCAACTTGGTAAGTTTTCTCTTCACTTGTTTATTTTTAATTGGGTCTAATCCATCACTTGGGTTGATTTTTTAAGTCATCTGATCAAACCGCTTATTGGTGAGTTTTCTTTCTCGTTTTCTTTCTCTATATCATTTCATTTCATATCCTTGATCATTTGTTATCTTTTCTTTTGATCTAGGATTTCTCTTTGGTCTCATCTCAAGATTGGATTGCTTCGATCGTTTATTTTTAATTGGGTCTAATCCATCACTTGGGTTGATTTTTTAAGTCATCTGATCAAACCGCTTATTGGTGAGTTTTCTTTCTCGTTTTCTTTCTCTATATCATTTCATTTCATATCCTTGATCATTTGTTATCTTTTCTTTTGATCTAGGATTTCTCTTTGGTCTCATCTCAAGATTGGATTGCTTCGATTGTCATCAGATCAACCATTTATCTCCAACCTGGATTGCAAACTGTTCATCAGTAAGCCTGTCATTTCAATTTTTCTCTCTCAGCCTTTAAGCTTCTGTGTCTTCATTTAAGACTGTTATACACTATACTGAAACCAAGTCCGTTTGTTTGACCTTTCTGTCATGATGTGTTTCTTTGAAGATGCCCAAATCAAAGCAAACAAAGCGCACCGGACGTCAGGAAAGGTCATCTTCCCTCCCAACTGTGTTTGAATCCCAGGGGACCGTCAAAACGGGTAAGTTTCTTTTCTAATCTCAAGTACATTAACTGATTGTGCGCTTTTTTTATCTAGTACGTAGGAAGCAGGATGCACCTGCTACAGCTCTGAGAAACACAGATCGGGCCAACCATTGCCTCAATCCCACGGCATCTTCAGGTTTGGGTTCTACCTCTTCGCAGCCACTGCCAACCAACAGTGTTGCTTTTCTCCAGCCACACGTTCTGACTAACAGTCAGAAAGAGTATCTGGAGTCGATCTCCAAGACTCTCAACCTTTCTAGCGATACTCATGAGGAGGTCCTCAAGGTATGTCAGGTAAGCATTTTTTCTTGTTTTTTTGTCTTTGTATAAAGATTGATTTCTTTCTTTCTTTCAGGACACTCGGCCGGAAAACCAGTTCATCGGCACTGTCAGTTATCTGGCATATATTAAACAAACTCTCAAGGAGCAAGTGAGTGAGCCCAATCGATCACTCGCTCTTCGATCTCATGCTGTGGACGGTTGGAAGGCCTCTAGCACACTAAAGGTGAGTGATTTTTTCTATTTCCTTCCCCTATTCTGTACTGACATGTTTTTTTCTTGGATTCAGGATGTTGCTAGACCGGATTACAACGCTATGATCTTGGACTTCAAGATTCAAGCCTACTCTAGCACCCAGGACTCCAACAAATCCACTATTCGACATACCTTTGATGCACTATGTAAAGTAAGTAACCTTTCTTTTTTTTCTCTTTTTTTTCTCTCGTGTGTCTCCAAATGACAAGTTCATTCTTGTTTTAGAAATATATCGACTCCAAAGATGAAAAATTCAAGGAGGAATACTACCCTCCTGGGTATGGAACGCCTGATGGGTCTGCAGCCTTCAAGGCCCTTAACGACTGGGCTAATCGTTTTGCAACTGATACTCGAAGCCGTTTACGAAACTTGGTAAGTTTCTTTCTTTCTTTTGTTCATTCATTCATTATTTCTTTTTCTACTAAGATTTCTTTCTTTTTTTCTTTCTAGCTGCTCACCAACATTAAACCTGACGGTCCAAATCGTCCCACCCATGCCATGCCCACTATCAAGCAACTTGTTCGCTTGGTAAGTTTTCTCTTTTGTTTTCCTCTTTCTCTGTTGGATTTGATGCTAAGTTTTTTTTTATTGTGCAGATCCATCATGCCTTGATTCTTAAAACTGATCCTCGGACTGATGACCAACTTTTTGCCGATCTACCTATTGAATTTGTACATCGGATTGCCTTTTTGGTACGTTTTTGCTTTTTTATCTTATCTCTTGACTTGGTTTATTCTGTACACTAATATTATGTTCTTTCTAGCGCTTACATGCTGTGTACACCTTTCGACAGCCAAGCCAGGATCACAAGTATTCTGTCTGGAGTAGTGTGGATAACGCCCTGGAAGTGTTGAGGGATAACAAAGTCCAGTATGGCAGCTTGTACAAGGAAGCGTAAGTTTTTTCCATCTCTCAAACTCCAACGTTCAAAATCCTAATTAAGTTGTGTACTTGTTTCAGGTTTCACAACGTAGTTATGGAGCTTAATGGCATTTATTTTGAAAAATCATTACTGCTTCAGCGGAAATAATGGGTGAGTATGACTCCTTAAAAAAGAAACGTGATGACAAAAAGAAGAAACACCAACAAAAAGAAAAAGAAAAAGAAAAAGAAAAAGAAAAAGAAAAAGAAGAAGAAGAAGAAGAAGAAGGAGAAGGAGGCCAAGAAGAAGAAGAAGAAGAAGGAGGAGGAGGAGAAGGAGAAGAAGAAGGAGAAGAAGAAGGAGAAGGAGAAGAAGGAGGAGGAGAAGAAGGAGGAGGAGGAGAAGAAGAAGAAGAAGGAGAATGATCTCTCTTTGTTGTTTTTTATGTTTTTCTCTTTTTATTGTTTTTTTACTGGACGGACCCAAATATATAGAATTTTTATGCTGGATCAAAAAAAAATACAAATCAAACCTGATTTGTACAAGAATAAAAAACCAGTGCCATTTCTAGAGCTACTGAAAGATGAGTGGCTCAATACCAGGCTTTTGGTACCATCAACAGGTGAAAATCATTGTATGGTCTCATGGTAAGAAGTTTCTTACCGTGACCGTATGAGTATTTTCACCTGTTCATTGGGTGAGACTTCTCATATGAACATGGTAAGAGAAGTTATATACCGTGACCATACAAGGATTTTCACCTGTTGATCATGTGAAGCTCCTCATGTCCTGCAACCATGAGCCATTTGGATGAGACTTCTTACCTATTCATTGGGTGAGACTCCTGTTGATCAGGTGAGAAGTCTCATCCAATGGCTCACCTGTCCATTACATGAGGATTTTCACCTGATCAACAGGTGAAAATACTCATGTAATGGACAGGTGAGCCATCACCTTGTGGACAGGTGATCACATCAGGTGTTGGCCACCCTGAATTTCACCTGTAGCTCAATCAGTGTGGCCTCAGGTGGAGAGCCCGGGATGTTTTGGCAGAGGCTGATTTCACCTGAAGCTCACCTGCCAGCCGCCCTGTGGTGTAGTGAAGCAATGTATATCAAAATTGATGCAAGGACATAGACATGAATATGGTCCTTTGAATCAGACAATCATATGAAACCACATATGAGCTACGAATTCCACATAGATCTTGAATTGTAAAGCGTAAAATGTTTTTCATCTCTTTGTGGGGCTATGTTGTCAGTAACAGAAGATCCTGGTACACTTTCATGAGAAAGTTGGAGTGGAAAAGGTGCATGAGGTTGATTTATTTCAAGACCTATTTCCAGACTTTCTTTGTGTTCTTTTGGTTCTGAAACACTGTGAGTTGGGACAAGATATGAACCAGTTTCATTGTGGTTATCTCTTTGAGAGTTTGAAGAATGTGAATTTGGGTGGTCTTTTTGGAGGTACATTAATGGTATTCAAGATTCGAGAAGTGGCGTCCAGAAGTGTCACAAAGTGACATCCAGAAGTTTCTTGAACATGCTCAAGAAACTTCTGGAGTGACACTTCGTGACACTTCTGGA